AGTGAGCCGAGATCATGCCACTACACTCCAGCCTGGCCAACACAGCAAGATCCTGTCTTAAAAAAAAAATTTAGAGACCTAATAGTGATAAAAATGAGACAGAGCCTAATAGATCAATTGTGAGTTTTTATAGAAAATGAAAACCAGCCAGGCACAGTGGCTCACACTTGAAATCCCAGCTACTGGGGAGGCTGAGACAGGAGAATCGCTTAAACACAGGAGGCGGGGGTTGCAGTGAGCCAAGATCATGTACTGCACTCCAGCCTGGGTGATACAGTGAGACTCCATCTCAGTAAATAAATAAATACATACATACATACCAATGTCCAAAATATTGGGAAGAAAACCTATAAGCTTTAAATAAATATAGACTAGATCTACATCTCACCTGAGTTCTAAACTGTATAATCAACCATCCTCTCAAAATATTTGTATCAATTTGGGTGAATAGTTAGTGGTTACATTATTATACCTATGTAAACATTGCTCACAATGAATCATTTAGAACATTACTATTATTTTACCTCTGCCAACCTTTTACATGCTGTCAAATGACAGCATGTAAAAAATGTATTCATGGTCTTTTCCCCAAACCTCCTTTCTTCTGTCATTTTAAGTTATAACACTATCACACCACTGCTCTGTCCCTCACCAGCAAGATCCCATGGAATCTGTCCATTCTCTATTCTCTTAGGCCAATATCATCCTTCTAAACTGGTCAGCCTGCTTCCTGTCCATTCTCTATCATGCAGGCAGAGTGCTCTTTCTAAGAACTGAAAGCCAATCATACAATTTTCTTGCTTAAAACACTTCAGTGGTTACCACTGCCTTTAGCACAAGATTTGAACCCTTCAACCAGATATCTAAAACTTCATAATCTAGCCAAGTGCAGTGGCTCATGCCTGTAATCCCAGCAATTTGGGAGGCTGAGGCCGGCAGCTTGCTTGAGGTCAGGAGTTTGAGACCAGCCTGGCCAACAAGGAAAAACCCCATTTCTACTAAAAATACAAAAAAAAAAAAAAATTAGCTGGGTATGGCAGTGCACACCTGTAGTCCCAGCTACTCAGGAGGCTGAGGCACGAGAATCACTTGAGTCTGGGAGGCGGAGCTTGCAGTGAGCCGAGGTTGCACCACTGCACTCCAGCCTGGGTGACAGAGTGAGACTCCATCTCAAAAAATTTAAAAAATTAAAACTTCATAATTTGGCCTCTGATTACCTCTTGAGCCTCATTTCATAACATTCCCAGGAATGTCTTTCCCATCCCACCCCACCTCTACATTCCATGCAGCCAAACTGAAGTCCTTTGCAGGTGCTCGAGTTCAGGTTGCCCTCACCTCTGGGCCTCTGCATCACTGTTCCCTGTATTCTAAAAGTCCTCAAACTAAAATGATATGCAAAAGTATACGTGAGTGTATGTCTCTATGTATATACACACAATGCACATGCAGAAAAACTTGCAAAAATTGTTGACAGTTATTTATAAATCCTCTGAATACCAACTTTGGACCCACCTTAAGAACCTCTTCCTGAAGCTAAAAGCAAACTTACAGCTAATATTAAAAAGTTGTGAAATATGTTATTCAGCATTTTTGCATACAAAGTATACATAAATTGCACATATCAGTATCAACTCTTTTATGTCACTGGGATGCTATTTATTGCCCTTTGTCCAGAGAAAGTTAGCTGATTATTATGTTACAGCTGGTTTCTCTGGGAAAGCCTTATTCTAGGGAAAAACATCCTTTCACTGTTCTGAGAACAGCAGGATCCTAGAATGTGAATACTTCTGCCTCATAAGAATGCCTGAGCATGCTGTTACAAAAAAAAAAAAAAAACTTAAAAAAATTTGGATGATATTAGATGAACAGCTGTGTAGAAAAGGGAATGTAAAAATAAAAACTGCATGTTGGAGCATCAAAATAGTAACCATGTACAGTATAGGACTGTTTTTAATCAGATGAAGATTGAAGCTATTACATTTCAAATCAAATGTTATAAATTAGTTCAAGAATGCAGCTGAGCTCTCATTTAATTAGAAATGTCCATGTTTAAATCATGAGGTACAGTAGCTGCCAATGAAGCAAAGGGCAAGGGAAGGGAGAAATCCTGTGTCCAGACTCACTGATTCTTAACTGTCTCCTACGCAGGACGAACATCTGGGGTGGACCAGTCCCGATGTAATGAAGAACTTCATGTACTAGCTAATTTGAGATTTAATGTAATTGTCCATAATTGTTTTGAAGACAATTAAAATCATTATTCTGGTCTGGACAATTCTGAACTCTTCATTTTTGTGTGGAACACATTTTCCCCTCCATGCTGAATTTTAACTCTTTCTTGGATAAAACGTAAGGCAAGTCTGAGGCCAAGATTTCCCTCGGAAATAACCCTTCAACTGTCAGGTCACATGAAAATGCAGCATAAGTAGTGAGGCACTCCTTTGGAAGCAAGTCTCATTTCCTATTTCTGGTGCTTCATGTAGCTCAACTAAAGTCCAAATCTACATCCCAAATGTTAGACAATTCACCATTAATTAAAAATGAGACAACATCATAGAGGGATTTCTGAGGTCATACAGAAAAGAATGCAATTATCCTAAGGCGGATTTTTCCCCGAAGATTATGAGCCTCTGCATCTTGTAATTAACCGTGGTACAGTTAGACAGTCCAGGCAAAAGTTCTTTCTTTTCTCCCAATTTGCCTAATTCAAAAACACCTCAAGTGGCATAGCTCAAATTTTCCAAATTAACCTTACCCCTGGGGCTGAAATCATTCAAGTGACAGTTCAGCTCTAAAGAAAATCTTAGTGAGAGTTGTGCACAGGGAAAAAAGGAAAAAAAAAAAAAAGTCGGAGGAAAAAGGGGTAAGAGTTAACATTTAAGTAGATTTTCAACCTCATCATTACCCCTGCTCAAGAAAATAGGACACAGATAGGCAAAACACACCATCGTTCTGCCCTGAAGAGCCTGAAGGACTTATTAGAAACCACTATTGCTTCCTTATGATCCATTGTGAATTTGTAAGGGATAAAATTATTGATTTTTTTTTTTTTTTTTTTTTTCTGCCATACCCCGCAACATTTAGTGTCCCATAATGTCATGGCATAGGAAGTGGAAGGGTATGTCACAAACACACAGTGTATTGTGGATACGGTTCTTCAAGATCAACTTTTCCCAGGGAGCTGAGGAGTGATGCGATTCTCACAAGCTATTTCAGTTTGCAAAAATGGTTTCCAATAAGAGGAGAACACAGAACCCCAAACTTTCTCTTACTTCTGGCCACCACTCCACACTCTTCCACTGTGACTCCAGAGAGACGGTCAATCGGAACCAGGTCCACTGCTCTCAGGCAAGGGTGGATTCCCTCTTGGACTTCCATATCAATAGCCTGGAAGGCCTCTAGGCAGGCAGCCAGAACAGAACTGCCCAAAAATGCAAAATTGTGGAAAACAATCATTAAGCTTTCAACTGCGTCTACAGAAAAAGCTATGATTTTGTTGCTCCACTAGTTGCTTTTCTTTTGTCATCTGTATAGAAGACTTCTTTTTTGTCCAAAATAACGAAAAACACACAATCCAACCTCTCCCCTCATCCCACCTCCCAACAGTCATAAAACTTCATATTTCTTCCACCTTTTCCTCCCCAAAGTGGGAGAATTATACAAGATTTATTGGTCTTATACTATTTGATTATTTTTTTATAATTGGTTACTTTAAATTTTTTCAACTTTCTCCAATTACTCTAATCAAATTCCTTATTTGCAGAATGCTTTATGAGTAATTCTATTAAAATAGATACACAAACATAATTTTTTTATTTTTTATTTTTTAGAGACTGAGTCTTGCTACGTTGCCCAGGTTGGTCTCAAATTCCTGGCATCAGGCAATCCTCTCACCTTGGCCTCCCAAAGTGCAGAAACCATAGGCATGAGCCACTGTGCTGAACCACATAAATTCTTTTTCACGTAAATTTTTTAAAGCATACTTATTTTAGTTTTGCTCTTATCCACTGATTATATTTTCATTGAATTATTATAGCTAAATGCATATTATAGACACCTAAGAGTTTTATGATGTTACTCTGAGTTTTTATTAGTAATACAGTATGACCATTTTAGCAATAGAGGAAAAAGCGGATTTTTATCCTGTATTAAGATTAACATTCAACATAATCTGTCCAGGCCGGGCTCGGTGGCTCACTCCTACAATTCCAGCACTTTGGGAGGCTGAGGCAGGCAAATCACTTGAGGTCAGGAGTTTGAGACCAGCCTGGCCAACATGGCAAATCCCCATCTCTATTGAAAACAATACAAAAAGTTAGCCAGGCATGGTGGTGTGCGCCTGTAATTCCAGCTACACAGGAGGCTGAAGCACAAGAATTGCTTGAACCCGGGAGGCAGAGGTTGCAGTGAGTCGAAATCGGGCCACTGCACTCCACTCTGGGTGATGGAGTGAGACTCTCGTTTTGAAAAAAAAAAAAAAAAAAAAAAGATAATCTGTCCTATGCTTGCTGAAGTTATCAGTAAGCTCTCTACTAAACCTTACAATGTCCCTGTGAGACATGTCAACTCATGGCCCAACTCCAGATCTCAAGCTCCCAACCCAGAATGCACTGCTTAGCATGTTTCATTCCATGCCAGCTTAGCAGTGAAATGAAAGCTGACTTCAACACTATTACTTCACGGGCTAAAACCTGAAGATGTCTTTTCTTAACCACAAAGGATATGTGATCATCTTCAGCAAAAAGAAAAAGAAAAAAAAAAAAGTCATGAAATCTTGGACTCCAAAGTTCACTGTAACAAAGAGGAAATGGAGGATGTTTGAGATTTACATGTTCAGAAAAATGACTAAATGTAGTTTTGTGGTAGACTCTTTACTTAACAGAGGGGAGTATTCAGATTTACACAGGAAATCAATGATTAGAGAATGTTCAGGTCTACCCGAAGGCCTACCCTTCACCAAAATAAAGACAAATATGTGAAGAAAGAAACTGAAATCTTACCCAACTTATCAACAGAAGCTGCTATTGTAATGACTGATCTATTATAGTCTTGATCAGAAAATATATTGAGCACTGACACTTGAGGATGTTTCTTTCCTGTAAAGAAAACAAGACAGGAGTGCAAGAATTTTTTTTTCTGTGATAAAACCTTAATAGTTTATTTCTTCTGGTGTAATTCAATTTAGCTTAGTTGAAAAATTCTGGGATGTGACTTTTGGAAGTGACGTTGAATAAACATGAAATTCATGAGAGGCAATGTCCACTTTTCTTACAGCATCTTATTGTATAACCAGATGGCTCAGCCCAGACACAAGCTTTTGATGTCTATAATAGACCCTCTTTTGGACTTGCTACTGAATTTGCCAAAATTCCCTTAACTCAGTCTAAGATGGTAGCCCCTTTCTCTAATAGCCAAATCATATCGCTGTAAATCCTGTTCTTCATCAATCTCATCACCTAGGCCTTGTCAATATTTCCTTCCCAAATCCAGAAACTAAACTGTTTGGGTCAAGATCTAACATCTGGTAAAACTAGAATAGACCAATTAGTGCCCAGAGCAGAGGTTTTTGAGACGCATGCACCTGTCCATTAGAAACTGTTCTGAGTCCACCATCTCCTTTTCGGAGGCCACCAACAGCCTTCAGATGTTAACAACTTCCAGCTTTTGGTGGTTTGTGACTCTCTTGAATATGTGTAACCTGGAGGAGAAAGCTGCCAATCCCTTGTGTGGCAGCCATACATAGCCCTAGAGTTATTTTTGAAGTTTACAAGCATGGTCCAGGCTCCTTAAAAGTACCCCTTATGCCTACAAAAACAAATTCAAAGTGAAGGACAAAAGTTTTCAGGCGGTAATTAAACCTTTGGTTATGCTATTATACCTTGTCTCCCTGTCCCCTGGCAGCTTAACAATTAATCTTTTCAGAGGAAAGGAAAAACAAGTTACACCCAGGAACTACAGAGCTTACAACAGCCCTACACTATTAATTTTAATAATGTGAGAAGATAAACATATGTATGTCACTCACTCATGGCCAAATGAGCATCTATAGAGTCCTGCCCTGGTGTAGGTCTAAAATTTATAACTCAGATTCCTTTACCTAAGACCTTTCTAGGCCATTTAAATGTGCTCACATTGCTTAATTAGAAAAAAAATACAGTTTATATAGTTTTATTCCACTCACTTAAAAAAATGCCTTTAAAATATTTGTTAAAAAAAAAAGGTTCATTTTCTTAACTAGTGCTACCTTCCTTGCATTTTGAAAACTATAAAAGATGAAGAACAAGATCATGCAACCTCCTATTTTATGTAGTTTTTCAACATACTCTAACTCCTGGAAAAAAAGAGATATGATTCAATTTTTTTTCATCCTAAATCTTCTCCTGAAAAGCTTTTATTCTCAGTTTCATATGATTCAATTGAATCAAATGCTGAAAGAATAAAATACTACTCTCTCCTGCAATTTCTTAAGCATGCATATAGAAAAAAAAATTACTGCTGGCAAGAGGAGCTGTCAGTGTGAATCTCAGCAGAAGTAAATTGTTTGGTATTTGTAATGGAGTATAATAGCTATAATTCCATTTGAGCTGCTGCCACTAATAAGCTGATAAAAACTGTGAGTTGAGACCCAGGCATCCATCAGTGTGTGTCTTCCACAAATGTCTCTGCACATTTACTTAATCACAGAGACAGGCAACCCAATCCCATTAGGTGTACTGTGTCTGACAATGAAGAGCCCGAGCTGGCTCTTTCCACAAAAAGCATGCAAAATCACAGCTGCATACCAACTCCAAAGGAGTTTTCCTATCAGCAATTATCAGGAATTTTCATAGACATTTCTGGCTTCTGCAAAGTTGCGAGACAGTAACTTAAATATGCTCACAGTTAAGATGGGTTGGGGGAAAACACTTCTTTCATATGAAAAACAGTAACCACATTAAAAATGACAATCGGAAATTAAAATTTACTGTCTGAAACGCTTTAGGGCTGGTTTCACTTGTTGCCAAAAAGTTATCGATTTAATAACAAGCATTCTATTTAAACGACTATATATACTGTTGTGTGTGTTAGTGTGAGTGAAAGTAAAGACAAATAATATCTAACCATGTGTCATTACAGGAACATTTTAAGAAGGGTGAAAAAAAGAGCAGTATCCTTCATAGTAATACTGGCCAAGGGAATAAGGAGGCATGAGTTCCACTCTTCTGTCACCAAATTGCTGAGTGATCTTACGCATATCATTTAAATGCACTTGCCTAACAGTCTCTATACAGAGAAAAGAGGGTAGAAATAATAATACTGTAATGATTGCATGGGCTTTGCTGGCAGGAGTGCTTTGAAAAGTAGTTGGTATTTGGCAAGTTTATTTTTCATTTAACCTGCTCGATAAAAAGCATAAGGTACGATTATGCTCATTCTATTAATGATCAAATAAACGACCCATGAGGGAAACATTATACTTTTAGGTAAATACATCCTCCCCAGGAGCCTGTCAATATCCTGAACAACACGCATCTCAGAGACTCACACGCAAATGTTAAGAGCTGCGCTGCTGAGCGTATGCAGACATTTAGAAAAGAGCATATGTGCACATCTGAGTAACTGAGCTATCTCAGTATCCTAGAGTTGTGCAGAGCTGCAACAGCTCAAGAACAAGGAGGAAAATTCAGGAAGAAAGGAAGAAAAGTGTTCTGTAGATACAGTGTGCACAGTACAAAAATTACTATATTATCAAAACACTACAATATTCAGCTTCAATTGTCTGCTTTTCCTACCATTTTTGTCAAGAAGAGCTGCTTTTGCTATGTTCTCAACAATGTATTTTCTTCTGGCTTCTGAAATGTTTAGTAAACAGGCAGCCAAACGGAGTCCCACTCTGGAAGAAGACATGATTTTTCTGGAATAGGAGAAAAATTCTTATGTGTCTCTAGAGTTCATTCATATTTTCATGTTTTAACTATAAAAAAATCAGAACTTTTTGGAAATGAAGCAGTCATAATATGAGCACTTTACTATTTCATTCCTAGAAAAATTCTAAAGCATAAAATCCCCAGATTGACTAAAATAAGAAACAATGTGTACACGGTCACATACATATGAACCTTGTAACGACACTGGAAAATACCTGGCAGGGTCCTCAGTATGAATTCCATCATGTATGTGAAAGTTTTTCATTAAAGTGTGTTATCCCATTTTAAGCATAGTTTTCCTTAGCCTTATCCCTGTTTTCAAGGTCTGTACTATTTTACAAATAGGTATGATTTTTTGTTGTTGTTAAACTAGACTTACTGGGGAAATGCAGAAAAAGGAAACGAGGAAGATTATTTAATATGTGGATTCTTATAAAAGAAATTCTTGTGGCAAGAATGAAAAAGTATCTACAGGCCACGCCATGGACATTATTTGTATAATAAACAAGGAAGCCATTTGGATGGTTTACATGACAATTGTCTAAGTTCCTCCTTGTTCCACCAAAGTTTCTAAATCAGTTTAAAGTCTTTTTACAAAATTCTGTAACTTGAAAGATGACACGTATTCTGATATATATTACTCAATAATATCAAAAATGTGATTTTTGTTGAAAATAGATTAATTACACAGGTTTTGGAGGTTGCTTTCTTTTTAGTACTCTAGAATAGCATTTTTGACTCATTTTTCCATACCTCAAATGATATTCACGATCTAAAGGAATTAAAATATCTTAAAATAATAAGAAAACAATTTCCCTCTTCAAGTTCAGCACCTCATAACGTTGGTCTCTTTTAAATATCATAACTAAAAATGGATGAGGCCCTCATGAATTCATTCAACAAATGTTTGATGAGGGTCGTTTTCTGACAGGTAATGTTCCCTGCGTGAGGGATATCAACCACAGTGGTCTAACTCTGAGATACGCTTTAAACTTTAGAGTTTAAGCTAAAAGTGCTCTGGTGCAAGTAATGGCGCTCTCCCTGAATAAATCCGCTGGCTTGTTCGCCAGGATCATTCGTTGGCCTAATCATCTTAACCTAGAGAGAGCTCAGGCTTCGTAGCTAGCTCAGGTTTGCAGGCAGGTTTTCATATCATGTCCATCGTCTCATCACTGAAAATTCATAAAAAGTCTGTCATTAGGTTTTTCTAGATATTAATAACATTGTTGTAATAAATCAGCCCAGACCTCTCGTTTCTATGTAAACAAAAAATTGCTTTACACAAGGGGTGTGGGCGTCTTCTGGTTTTCATTTGTTTTCAGTGTGTTTATGCAGCTTAATTGTCTCATCAGGCACTTTCCCAACATAATTATGCTTTTTAACAAATGGTGTTTATGGCAACCCCTAACAGTGCAAAAGAAAGGATTAGTTTCATCCTCTCATTCCACATTTTGATTCCCTGTGGACAGCTAAATCACACAAAGATGGTGTTAGAAAAATTCACCTTCACAGCGAAGCTGAAATGAGCGGCAGTACCAGGCTCAGAAAGTGACCCAAACGCAAGCCCCCCAAAACACTCTGTGTTTGGGACAGGGAGATCCTAGTCTTCCTAGCCCATCCCTTCAATTACCATTGGATGACCTCTGGTGATAGATCAAACACGCGACCGTCCTCCGCCTCCGCGCCTCCCCAACCCCAGAGAACCTAGCCCAGCAAGTGCAAAGTGCAGCAGTTCACCTGCCCCCTGCGCACGCACCCCACCGGCACTTGGAGGCCGCAAGGAGGCTCGCCAGGCTGCTGCAACGCGTGCTGCGGCCAGAACCCCGCTGCTAGGAATCCCTGGGCGGTTCCGCCTGGGTTCCTGGGTGGAGTGTCCCAGGACCACGTGCGCTGAAAGGGAATCCGAAGTGACTCCCGGACTCCACACAGGTCTCGCGGGACGCAGCAGCGGCGAGGGCGCGGGGTTGTGGCGCCCGGGAGTGAGGGGCGGCCGGCGGCTGCGCTGCCCCGGCCGAGCTCTCGAACTAGCGGCCGCGCCTCCCGCTCCGCAGTTTTTGGAAGGGGAGCGGACCTGCGCGCACCGAAGGGCAGTGGGGCAACGCGGCTGCCTAGCCCGAGTCGCCGCCGCGCGTGGCCCGCGCGCAGCCTCCGCCGCCGACTCCGCCTCCCGGGCGCCCGGAGCGCGCCCCACCCCAGCCGCACACCGCCCGGGCTGGCTCTGCCTCTCCCTCCCTGACCCGGCACCACGTGCCTGGCGTCCCTGAACGCTTCAGTTTCTTCTCAGTGTTGCCTCTTCGTCTGCTCTTCTGTATCGCCAAACCCTCCGCAATTCTCTAGTCAGTTAATGACTTTAAAGGGGCATTGGAATCTAATGATCAGGTCTTTGCCTATTGATCATGCACCAGCAGGGGGCTCTTCTCTGGTTTCCTTGCAAGGGACACATGCAGTCACACACACCCTTCTAGCAAATCCCCTCCTGAAGGATTAGTGGCCCCCCGTCGACTGTGAACTGGACCTACCCCGGGACAAAAGCAGTCCTTGTGCATACCCATTTAGTCAAACTTACAACGAATATGAAACAGGCTTCCGCATTTCCTTTTTTTCTAGGCCACTCAACCTTGAAAACACATTTCGCTTCCAAAAAATCAGGACCTGCTTTTTTTTTTTCGTGTAGCAAGGATTAAATGTCACCATTTTGATCCAATTTTGTTCCTGTAGTGAAATAATCACTAAATAACTACTTTGACGGAATAAATTAATTTTTAAATCTATTTTTTATTTTCTAATTATAATTTTTAAACACAGATTTGAGGAAATTAACATTTATGTGGACATTTGGTTTCTAGCCTAATGTGGCATAAAAATAAGTAACATAATGAGTGTTAAAAAAAATCAGGTTCATGATGCTTCTCACATCATCATCATTGTACTTAGATGTCACAACAGTATTATGTGCGATTATGTCAGATCCAGCCTTCTCCATCTCGGAGTGTTGGCAGGTAGGAGGGTTGTTGGCAAGAGGAGGGGTGTTAACCTCAGGATCCTGGATCCATTCCAAGGCTGGTAATTACATTCTGCCAGCCAAAATTCATCCCATAATTTTAATTGGATAAATCCTTTCTGGCCTAAGCTACTGCTATGCCTGTCAAACTGTTGCCACATTTCACCCCAGAGGTGTCTGTGTTTTAGTTGCAAGAATCAGTCCCTTTGAGGTTGGCTTATCTGTTTAAATCCTCAAAATGCACTGGGATCCTATGGAATTAAATATATATTTAGGGTTTTTTTCCTACTAAATCTGCATAAAAATGCATAAAGTAGATACATATCCATGTTATTACCTAAAGAGCAATACCTATCTAATGTCAGCATTCACTACATAATTTTGAGAGCTTTTTAACCAGACCAATATTCCTAACTTTCTTCATCTTCCCTTTTGAGAGCTTTTTTGGCCTCTAGCTTTAGCTTCCGTTTTCCAAAAAAAGTACTGTGGTGTCAAATGTTCCTTCCATGGTAGGGCAAAGAACCAGAATCCCCTGTATTTCACCTTTCCAAACAATCGGATGATGATACTACTTGCTAAATGAGACGGTGTAATAATATTACATCTAGTCTTATATTCCTCCAGAGAAAACAGTGTGACACCTAGGGGCTTCATGGTTCTAGCTGTAGAAACTGCCAGAAGGAAAGCTTTTTCCCCCATGGCTCCTAATCCTCTCTCTCTCCCCGTGAGACTGTTCCTTACAGAGCTACAGGCTATGGGGACATTAAGTAAGATAACATTTCTGAAAGCATCCCTTTCTCCACTCTACTCGCTTCAAACACAAATGGAGAGAAGCAGGGCCCCAGTGTTCTTTGTGGGGGGCAGCATCTGGCGCCTGCCTGAGGACGGTAAGTATGTATCTTTGGAAAATACAAGGAGACACATACCAACCTGTCTCATGAGAAGTTTAGCGATACGATTGAAAGTATTATTTTGTTCTCTTCAAGAATGGAAAGTTACCATCGCTTACTTTAGGTGTACCGCATGTAATCCTGCCCATTTCGCTACATAAAAGAGCTTTATGTAATATTTGTGTGTGCATCTCAAGTCTCTCATTTTTATTTAACTTAGCATTCTTTGGAGGGAGTCTTCCTACTTTTTGAATAAATGTATTATTCTGACTCCTTGATTCTTCTGCTAAATTCACCTTGTGGGCATTAGTTCTTTTGTTCCTGTCCAGAAAGATAAAAACCCTAGAATAGAGACAAACTGAAACTCCCACCGGTCAGTTCTATCTACAACTGCTGTTCCGTAACACTCCCATTGGCTTCCTGTTAGACAAAGAGGACATTTTTCTTTACCCTTTGTTTTCATTTTTGCAAGCAGGGAGAACTTAGCTCTTGTAGAAGACTTTCCTGGCCCATCTGAGCTGAAGAGGGTAAAAGGGAGAGGCTGTGCTTGCTGTGGCCTCACGGATCTACCTGAGCCCACAGCCCAGGTACTGGTTGAGCAGGGCTAGGACAAGGATGAGGTCAATGAGGCATTCACCCTGGGCACAAATGTAAGTAGGTGCCAAAAAACTCAGGGATGCAACATTTTTAAAAATAAAAATTAATGCAGAAAAGAAATGTGGTGAACAAAGTATCAAAATCTTAAGTAAAGACAGGATCCGACCCTGCACTTGCCTCTCAACTCAGCCTCACTGACCTCACCCTGATCCTGGCCCTGGGATTGTTCCCTTGCGCCAACCTGTTTCTGATTGTAGGCCTGAGAGGAAACCGTGCCACTCTGCCCTGCCTGCATCCTCTCTTCTGGCCCCCGACATGGGCAACAAAACCAACAATGTCAAGGGTAGAAATTTCCAGGCCAGTGGAGACATATAATTCATACTCTGTTCAAGAGTTTCTAGACTTCCATAGATAGAAGACAGCCAATTTATTTCAAAAGAAGGCAAACCAGGCGCAGTGGCTCACATCTGTAATCCCAGCACTTTAAGGAGGCCAAGGCAGGCAGATCACTTGAGGTCAGGAGTTTGAGACAAGCCTGGCCACCATAGTGAAACCCTGTCTCTACTAAAAATACAAAACTTGGCCAGGTGTGGTGGTGCATGCGTGTGATTCCAGCTACTCAGGAAGCTGAGGCACGAGAATTACTTGAACCTGGGAGGCGAAGCTTGCAGTGAGCCAAGATCGTGCCACTGCACTCCAGCCTGGGGGACAGAGCAAGACTCTGTCTCAAAAAAAAAAAAAAAAGAAAGAAAGAAAAAAAAGAAGGTGGCAAAACCTTATTGGAACAAGGAAAAGAATCCACTCTACTTACCTGATACATTTCAGAGTATGAAAATTAGGTTTCCTGTTGTGCTGTGGAATTTTGAAATGTTTTTAAAGAACCTCCTAATTAATACTATCTATATTCTGTTGTTGTTGTTTTTTTCTTTTTTTGGTGTAGCATTTGTTTGTGTTCAGGAAACCATGAGTAGAGAATTATCCTTAGAAAGACAGAAGTCTAATTCTTATTGCAGTTTTTTTCTTTGAAAATTTCACTTTAATCACATTTTTGCACTATGTCAGACTTCATTCTATTTTCTTCCCTCATGGAACACACAAAAAAATTTATTTCTTCTTTCGTATAAATGTAGTCTGATAAATAAGAGATTTTTAAAAGTGACCTTAGTTGTCATTGTAGGACAGTAAAGTGTTTTTAATTACCTGTATATTTTAAATTGTTTTATCATGTGATATTATGAAATATGTGTTCCACTAGTCATTTTTTTAAAATAGCAAATAGATTTCACTGCTACCATTATTAGTTTGGAGCGACAGAAGCTGTGCTATTAATTTAAGTGAAGAAAAGTAGCTTGATGTCCAGAAAAAAGTGATAGCATACTAACAGAAACACCTCCACTCCCCACACACCTGTGTATTAATTACATGAAATGATCACTAGCCATTTTTGTCTGGAGGAAGGAGGGATGTGGGAAACCATAGAATTTTGAAAATTAACCATTTATTTTTCACCTTAATATTTTTGAAATCACTTTCCCTTTACACAGTATGGATTGGGGTCTTTCTCCTTAGTCTGCCAATGTCTCTTTCAAAAAAGACCAATAGGCTAAAATGTAAGCATAGTTATTAGCTTAAAATGGAATCGCTTGCTATGCATTCACAGCTGGAATATCTCATGTAACTAGCCAAAAGTTAAAAGCCTATGATCCACTCGCCCCTTAATTCATTATTTGTTTTTTTATACCTTCCATGTGGTCATTCAGTTGTGCTTTCCTTTATTAACGGACCTGGGCATAATGCAGATGAAATAAAGTGTTTCCAAGAGCCTCTCTCCAACGCTGTTTTTTCATAACTATTAGTTATATTGCAGATGAAAAACAATTCCTAAAATAGACTTTGAATTTCTGCTGAAAATTTGTTTTAACTTTTGGGATGACCTTAAGATTATTTCCAAAGCTACTAAAATTCACAAAATGTATCATTATATTCAAACAATGCTGGGAATGCTTAGACACGTTTTCCCCTAAGTAACGTGAATTTTTGTTGTTTTATGAAGTTTTATCTATAAATATTTACTTAAAAATGCCAACCCGTGAATGGTAACTGCCAATATCTTGTGTCAGTCCAGCAGTGGCCAGTCAGGCTCTCCACACTTTTGTAGGGCTGTTGTTGTTTAATGTCCCTATGTATATGCAAATGAATGGCAACTCTTACTGACACCAAGAGGGGAAGGTCCTATATGCACGGAAATCAGAGACCCAGAACGAAAGCCTGCGTGTCATGTTTGCCACGTCCTAATTCAGGTGGGTGTTCAGAGGCACCCCTTGTTTTGAAAAGGAGCCCCTTATGGAGAGAACCAGTTCTCCTGCTCTTGGGTAGATCTCCAAGCCCCGTCTCTGCAGGACACTCAAACTCAGGTTTTCCTGCTAGTTTGTTTGGTTTTTACTATATAGCTCAGTGTTGGAAGGAATTTAACTTTTTTGAATGTACCGTTTCATTACATTTAAATAAAAAATATTTAATTTCTTAGGAAGAAGGGGTAAAGATTAATTTGTTGGTGCTTTTGCTTTTTTAAAAACTTTTATTTTGATGCCTTTTTTTTAAACCATGGTTTTTTGTTTTTATTTATGTTTTGAGACAGACTCTCGCTCTTGCCCAGGACG